GTCACAACTAAGAAATAGTATAATATTTGTGTACTTAGTAGTAAAAGCAATATATTCCCGGACGATAATGCAAATTTGCCCAACAAGCATTGAGTCCGGGAATGTGCTTTTACTACGAGGTGCACATACTATTCTTTCTGAAGTCGCAAACACTATACACTAATACGAACTAACAATAAGAAATTTTTAGTAATGCATACCAAACATTTCTTCATTACAATCGATTTGCTTGTGAAATCATTGTTTATTTATTGTTATGATAGAGTCAAATTCGTTTTAATAAAAAGTGCTAAAATATATTAAAAATATTTAAAATGGACAGTTGTAGTGATGTTCAAAAGTCCGGGACACCACCAGAGTTGGTAGCAGCTGCAAAAAATGTGACTTCAAATTTATTACCAAACAAATCTAGAGAAAAATACGAATTTGCTTACAAACGTTTCAAGACTTATTGCCTCAAAAAAATAGGACCCCCCCCCCCGATCCGAAAATGTTATGATTGCATAATTTTCCGATTTATCTACAAAGTTGAAGTCAACGTTATGGCCAAATTACTCCATGTTAAGAGTAACACTTAGTACAAAAGAAAACACTGATATATCAAAATATTACGTGTTTTTCTGAAACGTCAAAGAGAACCATAAACCAAAAATTTTATAAAATAAACTTGAAACGTTTATTACTAGTACCAGATAATATATGCTCAATGAATAAGGTACGTTTAAATGTGAAAATTTTGAAATAGCTATCTAGAGATGAATTTTGCCTTTTTAGGTTGTCTTAATATTTGGTGTTGTTGCTGCAAATCACCATGATAAACTGATACATAAAATTTGAATGATATAGGTAGATGGTCAAAGCTTTTGATTAATGTACCGTATAATAAAACGAAAAAACCGATATCATTTTGTGATAAACGAATGCGAAACTTACGAGTAAGGCTGTCAGAGAGAGCCGCAATTCAATGACATGCCAAGCGGGTCAACCGAGAGATGCGTGAGCCTCAGAATATTTTTCACGTTCACGTCACATTAGTATACTGTTGGCTTTGTTACGTAATTAATTCCTACCCGTTCGTGTTTATGGTATTGTATTGAAGACAATTTAATTTGTTGCTTTTTAATAAATAATGTGTACGCCTATGACTCGCGGCTCAGTTCTAACAGCCCTACGTATAAGCCACTGCATAGAAAATATGTTGCATGCCGCCCAGAAAGTTTGAAAGTTGCCGCTTTTTCTTTAAATATTCAAATGGGAAAGCTCGCAGGCAAGTCGTAGCAATACGTCAGTTTAGTGAAATGCACAAAATTGTCGCAAAATTTTAAATTTGCCAAATGCAGATAAATACACAGCGCATTGCTTCCGTCGATCTTCTCCGACCATTTTGGTTAATGCTGGAGCAGATTTTAATGCATTAAAGAGAGATGGGAGATGAAAATCTTCAAACATTACCGAAGGATATACAAGGTGGACCATGGGAGCGGAAAGTTTTTAAAACGACGGATTTCCGAAAGTAACTGTATTTAATTAAAACAAAGTATAGCAATAACAATATAATTGTGTGCCATTTTTATTTCTTAAAAATTATGCCTGCTAAATGGCCTCCTCTTCTCTCCATACACTCTTGAAGCTGAACGTTGAAATTCTGCATAACACGACGCAACATATCCAACGGAATATTAGCAATTTCTTCCAGAATTTTCATTTTCAGCTCCCGAATATCTCGTGGTTTGTCAATGAACACCTTGCTTTTTAGATAGCCCCACAAAAAGTAGTCGCATGCCGTAAGATCTGGCGATCTTGGGGGCCACTCAATGTCTCCGTGTCTGGAGATAACACGACCTGGAAACAATCTTCGCACGGAATCCATTGATGCTCTTGCGGTATGTGAAGTAGCGCCATCTTGCTGGAACCAGCTATTGTTCTGTGGAAACATGTTCAGTTGCTGTGTAAGGAACTGGTTAATCATGTCAGTATAGCGTGCAGCATTGACTGTTAAAGCATTTTCATTGTGATCCTCAAAAAAATAGGGACCTATGATTCCCATTGAAGATATTGCGCACCATACTGTTACCTTGGGGCTGTGTAACGGCTGTTGATGAAGTTCTTGTGGATTTTCCAAAGCCCAATAACGGCTGTTTTGTTTATTGGTATAGCCAGATAAATGGAAATGTGCTTCATCAGACATCCATAAATTGTGAACGTCAAGTTCATGCTGCAGCATCGTTTCAGCAAAATGTAGGCGAACAGGAAGATCTGTTGGTTTCA